TGAAGTATGCATGAATTGTTTTTTATGGATATGTAAATTCTGATTTTTGTATTTCATCTAATAAGGTGTCTTTGGTTTCTTAGAGTTCCCGGTGTGTATCTGTTAGTTTTCTGACTCTTGAATATATTGCAGAGAGGGGTTATATACACTTGTAAGTCAAATAGACTTTTCCTGTTCTGAAATATTTGTACTTTAAACACTTTTGAATAAATTTATACAAGCTGATGATCTGTTAAATTTAAAAAAATAAATTGCCTTATGCAGTGCACTTGCAGACAACTATAACCACCTAGCAAACTGTTTTGATATTGGTGAACTTTTAAATAAATTGCATGAATGGCAATTCTATATTTTCTTCATCCCTTCCCTGCTGACAACCTTGTAACCAAATTAGAAATAACTTAGCTATCCCCTTATTTGTGCAGAAAGGCCAGCGAGTGGTTGAATTTGAGTTGAATATTTCCATCTTTCTCAACTTGACTACCAGAAATAAGTTCTGGGTTTCTCTAAAGCTTGCATGGTCCTGCAGTCATTCAGCTCTTTTCTGTCCTCTCTTACCTGCTCAGTGTCCTTGAGGTGTCTTGTAAGTCTCGAGTCGCTTTGTCTGGGAGTCCATCCTCTGTTGTCGGGCAGCAAGAGCGTGTGTTAGAGAAGGTGGTGTTCAACCTGCCAGACAAACCAGGGAAGGTGAGGGCAGCGTCCCCTCAGCGCTGTGGTGCTCAGGTGAGCGCAGCAGCCTGCACAGGTACTTGTTTGTACAGTGGTGCCTGTATCACCTCCCACTTGGTGTTCTTAAAGTGGCACAATCATTTCCAAAGAAAGGATGAAGCTGTTCTGCCCTGACCGCAGTTTGCTCAGGATCACCAAAACAATAGCTGGCTGTTGACACATGCACAAGCTGCTTTAGGAGACAGTCACTTGTAGTGAAAAACGATGGCCCCTTTTTTGCCAGGAAACCACTTGGGCTTTCCTTGTAAATCATCTTCTTTACTCAGAAGTGAATAATCTGATAATAACAATAATCAGTCAGAATCTGAGTTATGTAATGAGCAGCACATGCAGCCTTCAGAGCATGAGGGCTGATACCCCTAAAGTTACAGCAGATCCACAGGGTTCATATACCCAACTCTCTTCTGACTATGTATGTTCAACAGCCCACTTGCTACTTACAAGCTTAGCTTTATTTAAATACCTGAAAAATCATGGCTACAGTCAGGCTGCTGCAGTGTCTTATTTCAGTGAGTGAAAAGCACACAAACCCTTTCAGAGGCTTTGCTAAGCCAGTGCTGGCTCTGCTCTGCACTGCTGTGGAGGTGGCACTACACAGGCCCTGAGAAATGCCCCTCTTATCTGTATGCAGTACTGCATCTAGCACTTGTCTGATGGGAACGCCAAAATGCAGCCTGGGTTAAAAACCTTTTGGTGGGGACACTGAAATGGAATGTCTTGCAATGGACATAGCCAAAGGGGTATAAGCTTGCACCCACTGAAACCAAAGTTCAGACTTAAGGTGTGTCTCGTTGGACCTCAGAGTCACCTAACTGGCAATATATTTTTTAAACTCTTACCAAACACAGAAAATACAAACTAAGGTCTTTTTACAGGAAATAACAATTATTAAGAATAATTTTTGTGATGGATAATTTTTATAGAACTAAAAACAATTTTCTGAACATTTGTTTGGGGGGGGGGGAAATGTTTTCCACTGTACAAGGCAGAATAAGTAACACTGTCAGCTCAAACTTGACATGTGACTTCCGTCTTTGATGTTTGACACTAATACTTTATTAATCTTGCCAAAATCAAGTTCCTTAAGTTTCTGTGCAAGAAATCTGCTTATCCTGTTTTTCACTAGGTCTTAAGATGGATATGATTTTAATCTTACTTCATCCTGGTGGTGTTGTCATTAATCTCCTCTTTGGAAGTGGTGCTCTCCATTGGCTGAAAATTGAACATCACACAGTTTGGCTTGCCAGCAAGCCGGTTGGTCCAGTACATGTATAAGTACTGGTAAATGTACTGGTGAATGGTGGCAGTCTTATAAGGCACAGTTAGTATTCAAGGTTAGGATAGGGTGAATTAGGCTTTTAAAATAAGTTCATAAATATTTCAGAAAATAACTTAGAAGTAAAGAGTTACCAGCCTTGGGGAATCCTGTCTTTCTATGAATCAGATGATGCTGTGCAGCCCTTTCATTCAGATGTAGGAAATAGGTGCCCAAATGTCAAACCGGTCTGCTTTCCAGGCCAAAATTGCTGGATCCAGACGTGCCTGCTGTCAGCAGGGTTGCTAGAGGGAGCAGCTTCAGGGGGGGTTAGAAATATTTGCTTGCTTTGAGGCTTCAGGGCTTCATCTATGACCACAAGTAGCTAGGGTGTCCAAAGGGGGTCAGCATCTGTAGCTGTGGAGTAACACAGAGTCTTTTAGAGTTTCTTAGAGTCCTTTACCCTCTTCCCTGGGAGACCACAGGGGAAAATGCCTAGATATGAGGTGGTGGGGGAACATTTCTGCTGTAGCACATGGTCATTAGACTGACACTGAAGGCAGCCATGTTCTTTCACACACCTGCAATTAACTTTACTTTTGAGATGACTCTGTAACCCCCTGGATATAAGCAGGATAAAATAAAAAACTTACCATGGCTTTAAATGTTTGAGGGGGTCCAACTTCATTCTCAGGCTGATGTTAATCATTGTAAACTTCCTAAACTTTATTGGAATACAGCGAGTGGAAAACTACTGTAGGAGAGGATGCCTGTGCTCCCGTTTCCTCGTGCTCGTGGTAGAGTTTCACAACAGCAGTCACGCAAGGCTGAAGACTGTGGGTGGGTGAGCTGATGGGTGCAGGCAGGTACTGGCGAGCTGTTAAACATTTGTAAGAGAAAGAAGAGAGTTTGAAAGTGAAATGGTGCCTATGGATTCCTGAGTCCTCATTTCCCCCCGATATGTTTCAACTGGGCTAACACACAACATAACAGTCTACCTAGATGATATAGGATTCAGTAGTTTATATTTTGGCTATGTTGTCCAGAAATAGGGCATTAGTTAACAGCTTGTACATCTTATGTGCTAAAGAGATGCATTAGATAAAGTGAGGACTTTGCTAACAAAAGTTTTCTCTTTGCACATGTTGGGATAACTTTACAGTTCCTGGAACAGGGAAACATGGTCCTATTTAGTATGCATTATTGTGATGAAAGATTTTAATATTGCTGGACTGAATAATTAACCTGTGGAGGTAGACCACCTGCAGGCACCAAATTGTTCAAGCAGAAAGGTGTCTTGGTTTGATGTTAGCTCTGTTGCATTAATCATCCTAAGTAGATACCTGTAAGATAAATTGCTTAGTTTGCTGAGAATAACAGCAAGACTGATTCACAGGCCATGACATCGAGCAGAGGGCTGAACAGAGGCCAGGAAGATCCATGCCTTGTCACAGAGCAGGTGGTGAGAACACGTACTCAAAATATTTGAGTAACTGAATTTAAGACATGCAGGAATGTTGCGCGTGGCCAGTTGCTGCTCTGGAATCACAGCGATGTGCACAGCTACAAGTCTCCAAGCAGCCCCTCCGCTGGCCCCTGCATTCACACCAGCTGTGAGCTTGCCTTCACTCCCCAGTTACCTTCACACTTGGACTGTTCTGTCTCTCTGTCACACAGAAGGTGAGAGGAGTGGGTCTGGGTCTAGAGCTGGATGCTCCCTTGCTCAGCTCTCCACGACCAAGCTGGAACTAGCAAAGTGTGTGACTGATGGCATTTGGCTGTATGTAGACGAAGGCATACCCAGGTGCTCAACCAGCTTTTCTACCATGTCACGGAGCTTATGGCAGAGCCTTCATTGCCTAAGCTATGTTGAAGTCAACCGCCCCAGACTAAGGAAAAAAAAAAAATCATAGACATCTCTGGATGTGCCTGTTACACTGCATAGTTGTGAATCTAACCTTAGGAATACTCAACTTCAGTAGGTGACTGGATTCCAGTAGCCAAGTTGTTCAGAAAGCTTTGTCTCAATCCCTTAGCTTGAGCTGGAGGGTGCAGACTCTGAGCAGCTTCTGCAATGAGCGCAGAGTATAGGCTGCTCCAGAAACATAGGCATCCACCAAGCTCATCCCCACGGGAATCCCAACGAGGGTTTGCCAAGCAGCTCTGTGGTGCCCACAAATTAGCTGTATCTGAATCTCTCTACTACCTAGCTTTAAAAAAAATCAGCCTTGTCATGGCTCTACTGATCTCCTGAAACCACATGGGCACTACAACTCCTGTTGGCTCCTGGGTGTTTTTTTCCACACACATCCCACATGACACGGCACATTGGCCGCCTTGTGCTCCTACCACTTTGAGTTCAGGAAAAGGATTAGGAGTTGCTGGAAAGGCTCAGGACAGGTGGCTTCTGGCCACCACTTTTCAGATAGATGAAGATTAAGGACCTGCTGATGCTAAAGCCTTCCCATGGGAAATGTAAGTTGTGTGAGTCACCCTTGTGCTCAGAGCTCTGCATCACCCTAGCAGCTCCGCTTATTTCTTTCAGGGGACCTGTTATGGGTGAAGATGGCCAAAGAAATGCAGGCTGAGCAACAACAGTGGTAGTAGGAGTGTTTGTACGGGTAGGTTTGGTGAGGGAAGCTTACAGAAAGGGATCAAAATACATGCAATTTAGAAGCTTGTGGGTAAAGGGGTGCTGAAAGATCTCATGGCTGTAAGTCACTTTAGGTATGTGCCCAAGAAATTGACTTTTTGTAATAAGTCAGCAGACTAACAGAGCAGTAGGAACAAGAAACTCAGTGGGCAGAGAATGACAGAACAGACAAAACGGCCACTGCTTTTGTTACAAGTAATTTCCTCTTTATGGCTGGCATTTGTTTAAAAGACAAATCAGGCTAGGAAAGAGGGACTTTCCTTTTTTCTGCTGCATTATCTGAGCTCACTAGCTAGAAATGAAGAGACAAGGGATAGGCAAGCATATTGCAGGGAGCCTGCAGGGCAGCAGCAGGGGGAAGCACTAAAACTGACAGACAACAAGGCGATTCTGGTTGCACCTTCTGTCATTCCAAGTGCCATCGGTGTACATCTCCACACATTCCTCTTCCCCTTTGCCAGAAGGTTCGTTTAAATGCCAGTTGGTATAGTTCAGCTGTGTACCATCCAGGAGCTGGAATTTGCTTGGAATTAGAGATTCTTCTATCCCCAGGTAGGCGTAGGTATTAAAACTTTTCACAAAGTAGAGAATGGCATCATTCTCGCCCGCGTTCCTCGGAGTGGCAATAGACCCTCCAGCCTCTTTGCATTTTTTCAGTGTAGTACGGAAATCAGCTCTTTTCCCATTGGTAGCAAATATTTTTCCTCCAGATGTTGTTATCATCTTTTCCAAGTGGAGGACTGCAAGATGAAGTGAAAGCTGTTAATCTTTTATGCATTGTTTTGTAGTCACTTTGCTGCCAATTGTAATTCCTGCTATTTTTCCTCCATAACTTTAGATTAAACCCAGGAAAAGGTAAAGGAGAGGAAAATTTGAAATCAAAGATAAAACAAGAAAAAAAGACAAGCACCAAAAGCCAGAGGAAATCTGAAAAGATGAGGGGAGGGGAAAAAAGGGAAGAAACAAATATACAGATTATGAAATAGAAGAAGCACAAAAGAGGTTGGAGGAATGAAGAGAATGAGGAATTCTACATTTGGAAGAAGTGTATTTTCTCTGAGACTCTGTATAAGCTCTCTGAGATGGTTTGCAATATACAAGGGTATATGTCAGTCCTTGAGTGAGTAGGATCTTAGATGTGATCTGGTTGTGATTGTTTTGGTAGGCTTTTAGTATTCAGTTTGTCTGTTAGGAGCATGAGGTGCCCCTGGAGCACTTCTGCATAGGCAGGGATTTTAATCTGATAAATTTCTGGTTTGCTTGCCAGTTTCTGAGCTGTTACCTAGGTGTCTCCCACTAGTTATGAAAAACTAATCCCCCCCTTCCATTTGAGAGTTATCACTCTCCTATCTACCAGTGAACAAAATATAAAAGAAACACAATAAAGTTGCAGAAAACTCTGCCTTTTTCCTAAGAAGCTATTTTGTTGCTCATCTTGTTTATGCCCATTAATCCAGCTACAGCAGAAAGTAAAGGCAGGTAAATTACCTCCTTCAAGTCTGGAAATCCGATGTTCTAATTGATGCATAACATCTTCCATTTTATTATCAACCAGCGGTAGGAAACCTATGAAGAAAACCAGCTATTATGCACTTCGTATTACAGTTTGAATCTTGGCTTTCAAGATAAAGTGGGAGTACTCTTGTGAAATTAATACGAATTTTTAAAATGTTTATTTGACCTGTTCTAGTTTACAGCTGTGTTTTAAATAGGGGATCTTTTTAGATGTTGATCTTTGTAAGGATAGGGAATACAGTTCTGGAAGCTACCTGCACAACAGTGAAGTTTATGGCAAACTTAGATTATCAAATTGAGTTAGTCTTTATTCTATAAGTGACTGAGGCAGTCCAGGCAAAACACTGGCACTTGTGCTGTACGTCTAGTTGATTTTTAACTGTGTCTAGGGATTGTTGACAGTGTCTTTCAGGCACATGCTTGCAGCTCCAACCTAATGCCTAGCAACAAGTTTCTTGTGTTACGGGAAATGATATCCTTTTCTCTGTGAATTAAACCGTTGCGTTATTAAGTAGGAGACATTTAAGCATCTTACTTCACACAGGGAATTAATAAAGATCTGTTTATTTTCTATCCAGTAGAACCCACAGAATAGCACTGAATTTACACAGCATAAAAATGGAGCACAATAGTACATCTAGATAAAAACAGAGGTCATAACTGCATGTACCTGGTATAAATCCTTCATCTATCCCATCTTCAGGCAAGTGCCCAAAACCAGGCGGTGGACGAATTCCTGCTGGTTTACCTTGAGCACAGCATGGAAACAGGAAAAAAGCTACTCCTAAGATTTTGTGGAACAACCGTGGAGACAGCATTATTTAAATCCAAATGTAAACCAGACTGTTTTACTCTCCAGCATGGAGTCCTGCATTAAAAAAAAAAAAAAAAGGCAGCAATGTCTCAATTTTGCTGTCTGGGTTTAAAGTTTTGTGTAACCTAAGCTTTGCCCTCAGTTGGCATGAATGTCATTGATGGAGTTGCAAAGTTAGGTTATTTCAAATAATTAAAATGTTTTTTTCCAAAAGGCTCAGTCGGCTAGTCTACAAGAGTTTAAGCTACAGAGTAAAAAATCAAAATATCAAAGCCATTTTTTTCTACATCAGATACCATTAAATGCCATTTCTCCCATGTGAAAAGCTATACTTTCAGTCGTAATTTTACACATGAGCTATAGCTTCATCTATATCTACATCTGCTTCAGCAAGAGAAAGCCAGGTTAAGATAAACCATAACATGCTTGTATTGCATTGTTAATGTGTATTCTTCCATTATGGCATCCATCTTTCAAAGTATCTTCACCTCAGATGATATCCTCTGTAAAAGCAGGTGAAAGTTTTAATAAACATGTTGAGACAGAAAAAGATGTAAAATGGAAAGGTTCGTGATACAGCTTAAGAGGATTCAACATAATTTAAGCGGAAACCTATTTAAAGATGTTCAACTTACCTAGCAGCTCCAATATGAAATAAGAAAGACTCATTAAATTGTCTAATTTATAGGGCATGTAACTTGAGATTCATATTGTTACCTAGAGGAAATACAAAGAGCATGTAATATGATATGAATTTGCATATGAAGAGAAATTTAATGAACTTTAACTTGAATGGTGGAGGGGGTTGTTTTCTTCAAGAGGTAAACACTTAAAATGGGAGGAAAATATTTAAGAGTACTTTCCTGCTTTGCAGAAACACTTTCACACTTTTTAAAAAACCCAGCTCTGGAACAGAACAAAGCAATTTCCCAATACATATTTGAAATACCCAATGTTTCCACAGCACGGCTGTGTAAATGTCAAATTGTAAATGTCACTGAAGATAAGCCCAAACAAGGAGTACTCCTGAAATATAATACGAACCAGGAACACTACCATCATTTTCATTACAGACTGAGGATTTATCAGTGATAATGACTTGAAGTCTTATAACTAAATGGAATCTCATAATTGTAGCAGCAAAGCCAAAAGACAATAGTACATCTGCACCATATGTAAAGGTAATAGCCACAGAAGCACATACTTTAACTCACAGAATACTCCAGGGGAAGTTCATAAATAATAACAGTTTTCGCCAACGGAACAATGACCTTTCAGTGAAGGAAAAGGCTACTCTAAACCGGTCCTGTAAGTACAGAGGCCTCAAGATGCAGAGCATTGCTGAAATGGAAATGGATTGCCATGCACCTTTAAGTTATTCTCAGCTGAGAGTTGTTTCTATCTAATAAAGACTTTTAGGAAAGGAGTTTGAGGCTGTGCTCCAGTTCAAACAGGTAAGATGTTGCCACACCATCCTTGTGGTGTCAAGCGAGCATCCTGATGTTGCAGCAAGGCTAACAGCCGAGGAATAGGTGCTTTGAGATTAGATGGGGAACATGAGCAATATCCATGTTAGTCTAAGACACTACTGGATCTAAGCAAGCGTTGATCATCTCCACAGGCACTCTGCACCTTCATACTTACCCCAACAACTGATGTTGAGCCCTTTGTCATTGGTCTTGTGCCCACAGAATCCTGATAAATTCCTGCAGCATTGTTTATTGAGTGTTTTGGAAAAGGCACCAGTCCTGTGAAAAATAAATAAGCAGTACCCAGTTGCATGTACCTTGACAGAAGAGGGCTGTTTTAAATTTGCATGAGTAACATTTGTTTAATGTTTCAAGTTTCCTAGGTTTTGAGTGTTTAACTTAATGCTTTTAAACATTCTTTTGGCTGCGGTTTTCTAATTGTTTTATGGAAAAGAAACATCAGAGAACATGAGTCAAGCCGTTACCTGGGGTCCAGATGAGCCCTAGAAAAGGTCATTGGCAGAACATGGGCCTTTGCATCCGCAGTGAGAACAGCTAGCACTTCAGCTGCACCTGGAAGAAACCGCAGGTTAGGCAAGTGTCAGAAAAGGATGAGGCTTGGCCTCCATTAGTGGGGTTTCACGTGCTGACTGATGGCCTGGGAAACCTGGAGGGAGACAGTTGTTTTCTTGTGTGATAGACTCCTGAGAAGAACTGATGTAGATTTGATAAATTCTAAACATTTCTTTCCTTGCTTTTCATCAGCATATTGATAAGATGGAGCAAACTAAAATAGATACTTAAAAATGCTTAGATTTTTGCTACACTTGTGATTGCCTAATAGAATATTCTATGAAACTATCATAACTTGTAAACTATTATCTGATCCTGCCTTGAGATACATATCACAAAAACGCTATCATCAAGAGGTTTCATAATTTCAGTGCTAGTGAAGCAAATGAAGGATATTCTGAGAGCAGATTATGTTGCACAATGGAGGTAGGTAAATGCAAAACATGCTAAGGACAAAAGTTGGTCAACACTGCTTTCTTAGCTGCTTCAAGAAATATAAGCACTAGAGTTGAATTTCACTTTATGAATGTGGGTGTGTGTTCCTTCCATGAGCCTATTTGTTAGCCCTTCCTTTGTATACTTAACCTCCTGAAAGTTATGGGTTTTTTTCCTTCATCGTGCTAGTCACACCTCAGTTAACCTTGAAAATTCTTTTCTTATTCTCTCAGTTTGTATTTAAATGGCCCCAACCCTACTTATATTTTCTGTTTACATTGATTTGGGGCTGTTCTGCTATTGTTTCCATCCTACCTTGCTACCATCTTGTTGTGTGCTTTCTCCATTTCCTTTGCTCTTCCAAATAATTTTCAGACTGTCCCCAGCAGCTCCCTTATTCCCAGGAATATCAGGAAGAGCACAGAACATGCGGAACCTAGTGTCTCCCCTTCTCAGAGGAGGCCGAGGTTATTTTTGCCCAGCTTTAAAAATAGGAAGCAAAGACTTCAGCAAGATATAGACACATGTGATGGCAAACTTCAACGTGACTTTTTTTTAAAAATTATGAGCAGCATTATAGAGCGGAAAGTCTTAATTTTACCTGTAGACAGTGTGATCAAGGCTTGTAAATGTTACCACCATCTTGCTCCGTTGACTTAAGTTGTGTGTGAAGGATCCAAGATGTCTCTGATATGTCACTTGGTGCAGCTCAGCTGAAAAGCACAGAAAGAAATAGTTTTGTGTTTATAACAAGTAGAAAGCAGGACAATGTCTCATCTCTTCTGCAGTTGTTAACAGCAAAGCAGACTTCTAATGGGAGAGAGAAAACCCTCATATGAACCAGATGAAACTATTATTCCATATATTCTGCAGTTGTCCTCCATTATCTGCAGAAAAAAGTTAAATTGTTTACCATTGCTGCAGCCTCCTCAAGGGTTGAGGTACGCTTGCTGTACAGTTCCTTTTGGATCCAGAGCCACAAGGGCAGAGATGGGCAAAAGTTTCATTCCAAATTTCACCTGG